GGTGACTGAGTTTCTAAGGAACCATTATTTTTCATGGTCACATATTGGATTTTTTTTAATGTCTCTATTACAATACACATAAAACTTTTAATCAATTGAGTTTGATTAACTTTGGGAGAGGATCTACTACAGAATAGGAGCTGATGAGCCCCTTTCTGAATATAAAGAGTGGAGCATGCCAGACCTACATGCTTTCTAATAAGCCTAAATTTTGTCTGCAGATGCAATTAGGGCCAAAGGATGTGTGTGACTTCCCCCCCGACCCTTCCCAAACCTCATAGTGACCCCTAAGTGAAATATACCCCAATGTTAGGACTATATAGGCTTTACTTGGTGACTGGCATTACAAGTTATCAGGCACATGCCCAGGGGCTTGTCCAAACTAGGCTAGACATGGCTCATGCCTGTCATCCCAGCTTTTTGGGAGGCTGAGGCAAGAGGATTACTAGAGCCTAGAATTTTAAAGCCACAGTGAGCTATGATCATGCCACTGCACCCCAGCCTGGGCGACAGAGCAAGACCCTATCTCAAAAGACAAAACACAACAAAACTCAAACTAGAAAGATATGATGACTGTGAATTCAGACTATTTTATGGAGAATAGAGAACCATTGTTTTATAGAATACTGTGAGGAGCTAAGGACTCCTTTATACTCTTAAATAAAAGTGCTGTGTCTATTGGTACTTACCATATTTGAAATTAAAACTGAGAAAATTTCTAAACATTCATTTTGTAATTAAAGAATTACAATAATATAACTAGGTGAGTCCCAGCTACTTGGGAGGCTGAGACAGGAGCATAGCTTGAGGCCAGAAATTTGATGCTGAAGTGCTCCAGGAACACACCTGAGAATAGCCATTGCTTTCTAGCCTGGGCAACGTAGTGAGACCCCATTTCTACAAAAATAAAAAAAATAACCAGACATGCAGCTCATGCTTATAATCCCAGCCATTCAGGATGCTGAGATGGGAGGATCACTTGAGCTCAAGAATTCAAGACTATCCTGGACAACATACCAAGACCCCATCTCTAAAATAAATAAATAAATATTACAATAATACACCTGTTACACATGAACATAAATAACATATTGATAGGGGAATATTTTCTAAGAAAAACTGGAAGAATGGCATTGTTTGACATTTTGCAAATCTCTTTCATGTCTAGTTGTGTTTTTTTGTTTTTGTTTGTTTGTTTTTAGAGGCAGAGTCACATTCTGTTGCCCAGGCTATAGTGTAGTGGCATGATCTTGGCTCACTGCAACCTCCTCCTCCTGGGTTCAAGTGATTCTTCTGCCTCAGCCTCCCAAATAGCTGAAATTATAGGTGCCCGCCACCATGCCTGGCTAATTTTTGTACTTTTAGTAGAGACAGGATTTCACCATGTAGGCCAGGCTGGTCTTGAACTCCTGATCTCAAGTGATCTGCCCACCTCGGCATCCCGAAGTGCTGGGGTTGCAGGTGTGAGCCACTGTGCCCAGCCTGATGATGTCTGGTTTAATGGAAGATAGCTAGATTCTCTTTTTCTGCTTCTACATTCAGTGTGTTGTGATGTGTTATTTTAGCTCAAGTATAGGAAGAAAAGTTAGCCTCACACAGATATGTACAGTAGTCCTCTCTTATCCAAAGGGGATACATTCCAAGGCCTCCAGAGGATGCCTGAAACCTCAGGCAGTATCAAGCCATACACACACATATACACATATATGTATGTATGTATGTATATTGTGTGTGTGTTTGTGTGTGTGTGTGTGTGTATATATATATATATATATATGTGTGTGTGTGTGTGTGTGTGTGTGTATATATATATATATATATATATATATATATATATACCATGTGTGTATATTTGTATATGTATATATATACAGTCACGTACCACATAACATTTTGGCCAATGACAGACTGCACGTCTGACAGTCACAAGATTATATACCATAAGATTATAATGGAACATATATAAAAACTTGTTATATGCTATTTGATATTGTCCTGAAGTAGGCAAAATGACTGATGTTAAGAAAAGGTGTTAGGACATTTGGTTTTCCATATTAAACATGTATATATGTATAAGGGCTAGGTTTGTGTAAGTACACTCTATAATGTTCACACAATGACTGAATTGCCAACAATCCATTTCTCAGAACATATCCCTATCATAAAGCAATGCATGACCATACTGTGTTCTGCGAATCTGATAACCAAGATGGCTACTAAGTGGCTAAAAGGTAGCGTATACAGCATGGATACACTGGGCAAAGAAATGAGTCACTTCCTGGGAGGGATAGAGTAGGACGGCTCAAGAGTTCATCGTGCTACTCAGAACAGTATGCAATTTAAAACTTAGGAATTGTTTATTTCTAGAATTTTTTATTTAATATTTTTGAACTGCAGTTGGCAGTAGGTAACTGCAACTACAGAAAGCAAAACCACAAATGGGGGGACTTCTGAAGTTGGAAAACAGAGGACCTTGTGCCTGCTGCATAAGAGCATAAATTCTAAGGTGAATATTTGGTGACATTCAGGAGAGCAACACTGTCTTGGTAATGTTACTACAACAGAATACCATAGACTGGGTAATTTGTAATGGACAGAAATTTATTTGGCTGACAGTTATTATCAGGCCTTGCTGCCCAACACTGTTGCATTGGGGATTAAGTTTTAACATATGATCTTTGGGGAACACATAAAAACCATAGCAGACAGTTATATATAATTGCTGATACACTGCATATAATTCTTCCCTTTCTCCTCCTTGGGAAGCATATCACAGTGCAAACAAGAGCAACATAGAATAACCTAAATATGCCCTTCTCAATTTTTAAAAAAGCAGTTCCTTCACACAACTAATAGTTATAGATGTATTTCGACATACACCCAACTGAAGGCAACACACCATGTGTTGAAACAACATGGTGGCTGACCTTTGTCACAGACAATTCCTGGTGCTAAGGGCCATTCATCCTGGTGACAGGCAACACCATGTAACTATGTCATTGTTGATTTCCCTTAGGAACCAGAGTTCCCACAGTGTAGATATTCCATGGTCAGTTAGCCAGTGCTTGTTCGTGAGCACTTCCTATGTGTTTACAAAGAACCAGTGGGATGAAAATCAAGTCTCTAGTTAGTGTGTTAGGCAGACTAGCATTTTATGTGAAGAAACCGCTAATGGGTTTACAGTAAGGGTGAAATGTATGTCAGGATTTGATGAGCTGTCTCTACTTTCTCTGAACTCACTCAGAGGGATGTTCCATCTATAGATGCTTAGCTTGTACCGTGAACTTTGATTTTACTTAACTGGATCTCTTTGGGGGATTTGTTTTTCAGTTTTAGGATACTGCATCTTCAATTTAGAAACATAAGGAACTACGGAAAACCATATGAACACCAAAAACCTATAGCTCACTTATCCATTTTGATGTATTTCAGTCATCATTCTGTTTTGTTTTAATTCAGTATATTTCCAAACAGCATCTATAATCTAAGTATTTTTTACTATTTTTCTTTTTGTCCTTAGACTATATCTTCAGTTTAAGGAAACTTAAACTGTTTCCTATGGAAACTTGGTGAACAGGTAGTTACAAGTACTAAGATATGACAGTTTTAAATCTGTTGTAAAAATAAGTCCTCTCCTCTAAAAACGTAATAGTCAGTAAGAGTCTGATGTTACATGGTCAGCCTAGAATGAAGGGATTGGTTTGTCAAAACTGGCATTCACGGGATTTGACCTTCATCCTGCATGTCACCTCCTAAAGCCTGCAAGATACAGAAGGTACCAGGAAGTGTAGGTATTCTGTCTGGCAGAAAAGTGGGAGACATATAATATAGGGAAGATGTCATTTTTACACACAATAAGCTACCAATCTAAAACATTTATTACATCATTGATTATCATGTTGAAAAAATCAAAAGGAAGCACCAAAGTCTTTAATAATAGGAAAATTATTTGAGAGTATTTACCCAACAGAATTTTATTTATTTATTTATGATTTATTTATTTGATAGGTCTTGGTCTGTTACCCAGGCTGGGGTGCAATGACACAATCCACTGCACTCTAGGTTGACTCACTGCAGCCTCTGCCTCCTGGGCCAAAGTGATTCTCTCACCTCATCCTCCCGAGTCCCTGGGACCACAGGCACGCACTACCATGCCCTACCAATTTTTGTATTTTTTGTAGAGACTGGTTTTCTCCCTGTTGCCAAGGCTGGTCTCAAACTCCTGGGCTCAAGTGATCTGCCCATCTTGGCCTCCAAAAGTTCTGGGATTACAGGAATGAGCCGTCGTGCCCAGCTGCCAGTAGAATTTTATACAGGCAATAGGAGTGAGAGTTGGGAGAACTGTGTAGCAACATGCATAGAGTTATATAAGTGAAAAATCAGACCCAAGATATTATGTATTCTATGATTTTCCAACTCTGTCAAAATACATGTGTATTTGAAAAAAAAAGAACAAAAAACAGAAAGAATACATAGAAATGATAGTTGTATATTATTTTCTACATTTTGCACATTTTGGGAATATTCTATGTTTTCACACCTTACAGCAAATGTCTAGGTTTGGTAAGACATATAATGTCAAATTAGCATTAATACTTTACTTTTCTAATCTAATTATAACGAGTGTTTTTTTAAGCAAACATCGCATTCAAATGACTGCTGACCCTTTGAGAAGAGTCACATTGTGTAGTATTGTCATTGCTACACAATGACACACATTGAGAATATTTTCTCAACTGTGCACTTGAACAGTGTCAGTTGAGTGGTTCTGGCAACAAAGATTGGAACTTTGGGGCTGGGGACTTCATTCAAGAGGAAAATAAGATTTTCCTGCATCAGATGGGGTGCTCATGAGACATCTAGGTATTGACGTCTTCAGATGTAGAATTTAACTAAGGTTAACTCTTGAGGTTTCTTGGACATGTTGTATTCAAAAATAATGATAAAGGCATTCTCTTTCTACCATTTCTTTTTCATACCCCCTGCATCCTCCTATTTAGGTTTTCACTGGAATTTTCACAGCAGAAATGTTCCTGAAGCTCATAGCCATGGATCCCTACTATTATTTCCAAGAAGGTTGGAACATTTTTGACGGATTTATTGTCTCCCTCAGTTTAATGGAACTGAGTCTAGCAGATGTGGAGGGGCTTTCGGTGCTGCGATCTTTCCGATTGGTATTCCATATTTCTCCAATTTCTTTTAACATTTCCTATCTTGCAGCTACTAGAAAGAGTTTTGCATAAATTAATTTCATGATTTTAAAAATATATAGTAACTGTATTTTACTCCCAATTGCAGTTATTTGGCTTAGCTACTAAAATACTGAAAATGTTCCTAAAATACCTGATATAGAAGTTAGTTGTTAAAAATCAATAAGCAAATAGAAATCAATTTTAAGAAGTTCTTCAAAAAATGCTGCTTAATCTAAGAGATGTGTAAGATGATAAGTGAAAAATAGGACCCAAGATACTGGATGAAGAAAATGAACTCTCCCAAGGGCCAATGAGGTCTAATTTGGGTTTGCTAGTGAATCTATTTTTTTTTTATCTGAAGATCTCCTTGAAATGGCAAGAATTTCTCCTTGTTCAAAAATGACTTTCTTCATTTCTTTGATCATGATAGATAGCCCTTCCAAAAAATGAGAATAAAGTAATGTTTTTTTAATACAGATGGTCCCCAACTTGCGATGGCTCAACTTACAATTTTTCAGTGTTACTTTGTGCAAAAGAGCAATACATGTTCAGTAGAAACCATACTTTAATATACATACAACCATTCTGTTTTTCTTTTTCAGTATAGTATTCAATAAATTACATGAGCTATTCAATACTTTATTATAAAATGAGCCTTGTATTAAATGATTTTGGCCAACTGTAGGCTAATGTTAAGTGTTCAGAACATGTTTAAGGTAAGCTAGGCTAAGATGTAATGTTCAGTAGGTTACATATATTAAATGCCTTTTTTTACTTACAGCATTTTCAACTTACAGTGGGTTAATTGGGACATAACTCCATCATAAGTCAAGGAGCATCTCTATTATATTGAAATTAGTTGTTGAACATTGGCTTTATTTCCCCTAACGTTAGCTAAAAATAAGTTTTTATTAATGTATTTGAGGTAGTTAATGTTTAAGTTACTAAAGTGACTCTGCAAGAATAGTTCATGGTATTACACATTCATGGTATTACATGAACAGCTACCTATAAATATAAGCATAAGTGATATCCTGACAAATCCCTCTGAGAAACTGAGCTACCTTGGGGGTATCCCACTCAGACAAAGGTCACTACTGCTTCCCTGGCATCAGAATTGCCTCAGATTTTTCACTCCCTATTGGGAAAATAAGCACTCGCAGCAGAAAAGATTAAAGGTTTCTTCATTGAGATATTCAGCAATTCTAAGACAGAATTGGAAAAGAGTGAAACTATTTGTAAAACAGAGATTTCACTCGGTCCAAGTCACAAATAACATCTACCAAATTTCTGAAACCTCTGTTAACTACTCTTTGGTTAGGATCCAGTCCACAGTGGACTTTTTGATAATAGTTATTATCTAGGTGGCAAAAGAAAGGATTGAGAGAAGCCTTTGAACTTACATATTTTTTTAATTTTTTTATTTTTATTATTATTTTTTGAGACGGAATCTCGCTCTGTTGCCCAGGCTGGAGCACAGTGGCGTGATCTCGGCTGACTGCAACCTCCACCTCCCAGTTCAAGTGATTATTATGCCTCAGCCTCCCAAGTAGCTGGGATTATAGGCGTGCACCACCACACCTGGCTAATTTTTGTGTTTTTTATTAAAGATGGCATTTCACCATGTTGCTGAGGCTGGTCTCAAACTCCTGGCCTCAAGTGATCCGCCTGCCTCAGTCTCCCAAATGCTGAGATTACAGACATGAGCCACCGCACTCTGCCAGTATAGGCTCTTTTCATAAGATGACTGATGTATGTGGAACTGCCCCTGTTTGAGAGTTACGCTTTTCCTCCAAGTTATTTGAAGCATATCACAAAGGTTTTTTTTTTTTTTTTTAAATCAGCCATTGATTATTTATTGGCAAGGAAAAGAGATATCTAGAATTTTTTAATGTTTGCTTTTTTAAGGAGACAGATTTTTTACACTCTCCTTACCATACTAGTCTTTTGGTTTCCTACAAATAACATTTTCCTTCACTTGTCCTGTGAGAAGTCAAGGGAAAATCAGCAGGAAAGGGATGTGTTCACGTGTGGGTTTTGAAAAGGCAGATTGACTCAGATCTAAAGCAAGGGACTAAGGCAGTATTCCTGGTTCCTAGTTATAAATGTTTCATCTACTGTGAAATTAATCAGTTTTCCCTTATTTATGTCTCAGTCTCTCCCCCATTTAGTCTGAGACACTGTTAGAAAGTCCTGGAAATTTCCCAAGGGTGCTCAATAAATGTAATCCAGTCTTACTAATTTTATGTTTTTATTTTAGCCATGTGGTGAGAAAATTGATTGAGTATCATGTGTTTTTTTGTTTGGGTTTTTTTTTCTTTAGCTCCGAGTCTTCAAATTGGCCAAATCGTGGCCCACCCTGAACATGCTAATCAAGATTATTGGAAATTCCGTGGGTGCCCTGGGCAACCTGACACTGGTGCTGGCCATTATTGTCTTCATCTTTGCCGTGGTGGGGATGCAACTCTTTGGAAAAAGCTACAAAGAGTGTGTCTGCAAGATCAACCAGGACTGTGAACTCCCTCGCTGGCACATGCATGACTTTTTCCATTCCTTCCTCATTGTCTTTCGAGTGTTGTGCGGGGAGTGGATTGAGACCATGTGGGACTGCATGGAAGTGGCAGGCCAGGCCATGTGCCTCATTGTCTTTATGATGGTCATGGTGATTGGCAACTTGGTGGTTAGTACTAATTTGTAGATATTTTTGTTCTATACCCTGAACATTCTACCCTTGGCCCAGAAGCCCAGTCTGCTTAGTCCTTCTACTGCCCGTCATGTTTGTTGATGTTTTATTCCTTCTTGGCCCAGGAACCCTAAGGTACAAATGAAAGAGAGGAAACAGATACTTACAGAGTGCCGACTTAGTCATGACCCCCACAACTTGTCAACCCTTTTCATACAGTAAGAAAGCAAACTCAGCAAAATTAAGTGACTTCCCCAAATAAATATAGAGCTTATATTTGAACCTAGACTTCAAAGTTTGTGCTCTTTCACCTACAGAAGGCTTCCTTTTTCTTAACCATGATTTCTCATCTTTGGCACTGTTGACATCTTGGGCTGGATAATTCTTTGTTGTGGACTGTCCTGTGCATTGTAGGATTTAGCAGCATCCCTCCTGGCTCTACCCACTAGATGCCAGTAGCATCCTCAGAGTTGTGACAACCAAAAATGTCTCCAAACACTGCCAGATGACCCTGGGGGGCAAAATTGCCCTCCATTGAGAGCCACTGCTCTAAACCATCTTAGAGTTTTATTTAATTTATATAAATGACAAACCACTTTCTTGCTTTACTTTGATCTGTCCACCTACTCTCTTCTACCTCTGTGTTTAGAATAGTCACCAACAGATCTTGACACTTTGTTTCTTGAAGTGTGATCTGAGGACTAGCGGCAACAAGATCACTTGAGAGTGTGTTAGAAATCCAGAATTCTAAGCCCCAAATCAGAACTACTGAATTAGAACCTGCATTTTTAACAAGATCCTTATGTAACTCATATGTACACTAAAGTTTGACAAAGAACTGTCTTACAGATCAGGCCCCCAATCCCATCTGCAAGTGCAGGGCAAAGAGGACTGGAAGAAGACAAGCTTATCTGTCCCTTACACGCTCATCCACATTAGTTCTCTTCCCTTTTCTGCCATAGAGAAGCATGACAGTAAAAGGTTCCTACTTCCCAGCCTCCGAGCCAGCTACAGCTATTCTGTTCTTCCATTTGACCTACAAAAAATAGCTACTGTAATGTTTAATTCTTCCTGTTCTCCATTCCCAGCCACCTTTCCCTCAGTCCTAATCCCTCTAGTCTTCTCACTCCTGCAGTGACTATAACAATGGCTTCCTGATAGGTAGTATGTTCAACATTTCCCAGCCCTGACTTTGCCACCCTTTCTTCACTCTCCTGTTCTCAGTTGTGTCAAAGACATATCCCATGGCTGTCTCCAGATACCTGAGCATTTGACAAAAATCAGCTGTTACTTCTACCCCCTGATGACACTTTCTAAGCTCCCCTTTGCCCAGTAGTCCCTCTGCCCGTCTAGTTTCTAGGAACCTGTAACTTTGGATTATTTTCTGTCTCTTTTCCCTCCACTCCCAGTAAATAGCTGATATGTCTTAAATGCATCCTTCTTCATAGTATATCTATGGAAATCTTTCTTCATAGTATCTAAGATCTGCCCCTTCCTTTGCATTTCTATAATTCATTTAGTACTTTATAAAAGTGCGGTCCCAAGACCACCTGCATCATAATTACACAAGTTTCACTCACAAGAAAAGGCCAAGTCCCAGGCCCTACACCAAATCTACTGAATTCGAATCTCTTAGAGTAGGCTAAGGAAATATTTTTAACAAACATCCACACCCCTCACTCCCTTAGATTCTAATGCATGCTAAGATTTGGGATTTCTGTAGCCTAATCCAGACCCTTATGAACTCATGCATGTAACAGCCACCTAACTTCTGTCCTTCCCTTCTGTATGTAGCTAGTCTGAATGACTTTTTCAAATCTCTGTCATCATCTGTGACTCCTTTACTCAAGAACCAGTAGTGGATCTAATTAAATAAAATTCAGATCCCTCAGCCTGGCCTTCAAAGCCCTCTCCAACTCACCTGCATTTTACCAACCATGTTCCTTTTTAATTCTACAAATGGTGCAGATAATCCAAAAACTTATAGTTCATTTATTGTTTCCCCCCTCCCACTCTGCACATCACTGTTATCTCCACCTAAAATGTGTGCCTTACTCTTCTTCCCAAGTATGACAAAGTAAGGACCAAGTATAAATCAAGAAGTGAGCACCTCTCCCACTCCTAAAATGTAAGTCTTAATAAAAATAATTAATCTTAATGTTCAATGTAGTAAAATAGGAGATTAAAACAAAAACAAATAAAGCTTGTATCTGATGGCTTGACATTTGGCTATGCAACAGAACATAAAAGTCACCATCACTGTCTTGAAAAAGCGATTTTATTTTTATAAATGTTAGGAAAACAAAATTTATTCTTAAAATATCATAACATGAAGTACATTTCAGTTCTTGATTTTGTTGTATGAAAGGATGGCACTTCAAGCCTAATTTTTTTTCTGACATGGGTGCTCTAAGACAGCTTCTGCTTGTGAACACGTGGCATCTATGCTCTTCGTGACCCTCCCCAGTAATTACATTCACCTTTTTATTTTCATTTTGGGGAAATTTCCTTCCAAAATGGATACAGCTTTGGTTTTTTCTGATTATGAGAAGTAATATATTTTGGGGTACATATATATATATATATGTAAAACTATTAAAGACCCAAGAAAAGAGGTGCTAAACTCCTTGTATTACAACCAAAAACAAACACATCCCCACCTGGTGACATGAGCATTTAAAATACTATGTGGGCCAAACACAACACAACAGAGCCTCTTTGAGTCTGTCACGTAAAGTCCATTGGCTTCCAGTTTGCAACCCTGCATCTGGTGGATAACTTTCCTACATTTGTTCCTTTTTTCCAATGCTACTGGCATAGGTGCTGAACCTGTTTCTGGCCTTGCTCCTGAGCTCCTTCAGTGCAGACAACCTGGCTGCCACAGATGACGATGGGGAAATGAACAACCTCCAGATCTCAGTGATCCGTATCAAGAAGGGTGTGGCCTGGATCAAACTGAAGGTGCATGCCTTCATGCAGGCCCACTTTAAGCAGCGTGAGGCAGATGAGGTGAAGCCTCTGGATGAGTTGTATGAAAAGAAGGCCAACTGTATCGCCAATCACACTGGAGCAGACATCCACCGGAATGGCGACTTCCAAAAGAATGGCAATGGCACAACCAGCGGCATCGGCAGCAGCGTGGAGAAGTACATCATCGATGAGGACCATATGTCCTTCATCAACAACCCCAACTTGACTGTGCGAGTACCCATTGCTGTGGGCGAGTCAGACTTTGAAAACCTCAACACAGAGGATGTTAGCAGCGAGTCGGATCCTGAAGGCAGCAAAGATGTAAGATCCCAGCCTAGAAACAGCCTTGATCCTGTGTGAGAACAAACAGGGTGCTGTCAGCCTTGGGCATTGTTTCAAGTATGGGCTTGGTAGAGAGATTCTGGAATAACCAATTTATTTTGAGAACTAATCCCACCCTCCCATTATCATTCTAGGCCTTTCCTAGATGAAGTGGATTCCTAAGATGATCCTGGGCCCACCTCTGTCACTTCTGGATCATGTGGGTCAGAGGCTGGAATAAGCCCTCCAGTACTTCCTTGCCATTCATCTGACCTATAACCCTGAAACCAACCTATAGCCACATTTAGCTTTGGGTGGGTCACTGTCTTGGTTTTGATGTTATATCCCATCCGGACAGAAGTTTTGAGGGCCTGTGGATATAGTTTGCTTATCATGAATTGTAGTAAGAATTCTAGAGAAAAGTCAGAGCTGGCGCATCATCCCCGCCAGAGGCAGAATTCTCAGTGTGTAATGGGCATGTTGCTGCAGAGCTGCCTGATCTCCCTTTTCCTTGCATGTCTAGAAACTAGATGACACCAGCTCCTCTGAAGGAAGCACCATTGATATCAAACCAGAAGTAGAAGAGGTCCCTGTGGAACAGCCTGAGGAATACTTGGATCCAGATGCCTGCTTCACAGAAGGTGAAAGGGGGCGAGGAGGGGATGGGCTTGGGACATTCATGTTGCTCACAGACACAGTTCCACCAGGGCTAGTGGTGGACGAGGGGCGGCTCAGTGGCTATCTTCATAACTTTGCCCCCACCCCACCATTTTGAAGGAAACTTAGATTGTTTCCCCTATTTGTATCTGACAAGTATATAACAAGTTTCTATTCTCACACTTGTCATTGTCCGTTTTCTCTTGGCATCAGCCCGAAAGCTTCCATTAGAGAGGCTTGTTCTGTCATGGCTGTGCCTGCCTCCTGACTACACTTTCCTCCTCCCTCTCACTGCTTCTTTGTAGGACATCTTGACTCCAGAGGGCCTTGCCCCATTAGCCTTTGCAGCATAGCCTCAGCCCTGCCACCCTCTCCATTTCTGAATCAGACATTCTGATTCAGCCACTGTCCTCCCGGCTGTGTGGTGGGGCAGCACCCGGCAGGGCCTGGGAGATGGAGGAGAGGGCAGGTCTGGGCGGGGCACATTTCCACGGTCTGACCTGCCTCTCCCGCTGGTGCCAGGTTGTGTCCAGCGGTTCAAGTGCTGTCAGGTCAACATTGAGGAAGGGCTAGGCAAGTCTTGGTGGATCCTGCGGAAAACCTGCTTCCTCATCGTGGAGCACAACTGGTTTGAGACCTTCATCATCTTCATGATTCTGCTGAGCAGTGGCGCCCTGGTGAGGTCCAGGGGAGTGTGCGATGAGGGATTGGCTGGGGAAGGGTATAGAGAAGCCAGTGGGAAAATGCTAAGGCCCAAGCCCAGGGGCTCTGAAAACAGATTGCCTGTGGCCCCAAGAATAGTGATCTGTTAAAGTTCTTTGGGCTGGTGCTTTGAGCCTGTGGGATTAGAGTCCACATTGTTCACATCCTGATCCTCTATAGATTTAGCACTATCCCCATCATGTGTCCCCACTGCCTGGTTTACCCCATCCTTAGCAGTCCCTAAAATGAACTTCCCTCTCTCACCTAATACCCCAAATCTTTTGTTCTTTGCTTTATAGTTACCCAGGATGGGAGGGAGGTATTCCTCCACTCACCATCCCTTCACAGCCTACTGGATTTGGAGAACCCATGGCATTAGCAAGTGTTTAGAGTCAGATCCCTGATACAAAGATTATCTATATTCACATTGTCCTAAGTGCTTATTAATCAGTGAAACATACAAGGCCCTGAACACACAGGCTCCTCCCCTGCTGAGACTAATTATCCTGGCATTGCTTTTACTTTTATAACTGAGGGCACCTGGACAGGGTCTGGAATGAGGGAGTTGCTTGCTAGTTGGATGGTTTTGAGGACAGGAGGGACTAGAGAGAGTATACACTTTCCTTTTCCTTAAGTGAAAGGTGAAGAATGCGTAATGTTGAAGTGTGTTTAAAGAAGGTGGGCACATTCATGTAGGTGTGGAATCAAAGCTTAATCTGGAAGCATAAATAAATAAATAAATAGCAAGGGAGAAACCCCAAATTCAATGTTAAAGATTTTGACAATGACTTGGGAAGTTTCACTGACTTGTGAGGCAGGAGAATAAGAAAAGATGAGAGAGGCAGCAGTGTGTATTAAAGACAAGCCCAAGGGTGAAGAAGACAGCTTTCATGGAAGGGATCATGGGAAGTGAGGGAAGGTTTACAGGAAGGTGTCAGGATTAAAGTAGGAGGCAGAAAAGATGGCCTGGTAGCCACCGATCTGAGTGCAGGGGAGCCAGACCACCCCACCTGCCCCTGGGTCATTTGTTGCATCAACGAGCATTCATGCAACACTTCCTGAGATGCCTCAGAGGCACCCGAAATGACAGCATGGTCTCTGCCCTTGAGAAAAAAAAAATCAGACTAAGGCGAGTGACTGGAGAAAGGCGTCCTGTTATTGTTTTCATTGTTATTCTTCAAATCTAGTGAACAAAAACCTAAAATAACGGAGAATATGACCCATCATTTCGTTCTTCTCTTTCCCGTCTCTACAAAAAAAGATTAAAGCAGTAGTGAACCAAAAGCTTTGAACTTTCTTTACTGCTCACCTTTGACAATTTTTATTTGTCGTAATGATTAGGCAGAAGGTATTTGATTCAGTACATGCAGACCCTGTGCAACAGTAAGCATGAGATTTAAGAAAAGCAAAGTGAAGACACAGCATTTTAGCTGTGTTCAAGAAGAAAATGTCCAAGCAGAAACTAGAATGTGGTTATGATGGGACTTCAGAGGGTGGAGATTAGGGCCCTCAGTTACATGAGATCAATCTTGGGCATCTCACATACCTTGGATTAGAGAAGGGATTTCTAACAGATGGGGTTAAGGGGAAACCTGACTTGGAAGCTGTTGCCTTTTTGATTGAGCCAAGGGGATTTATGTGTACCAAGACCCTGAGTAGAACTGTGGAACCCATCATCCCTGTCCCACTCCCCATTGATGAAAGAGGAGCACCTGATATCCATATGCCTCCATTTTGGAAGATGAAGCTGCAGACCACCCAATTCTATTCTTCCTTCTGGAGCTATTCAGAGCAGGCACCTCCTCCCACTTGTATCACAGAGGACTTCCTCCCCACCTCCACAGGTTTTCCCATGCTTTAGGAATTCCCTCCTCTTGGCACCACACCTGTAGAGTCCACCACTCTGCAGATGGGAATGCTCACACCTCTGTATAAGGGATTATCCCATTCATGAATGCCAAAGAAAGAAAGTAGTGCTAAGATGTTCTTCACCTGGGTGTCTCCCACCCCTGTGACCCTCCACCCGTACTGTGGTGTCAAGGGGCTAAAAGGAGGAAAGGAAAGATTTTGTCATGTCTTTTATATATAGTGTTGGTGAGGATGTGGAGAAATTTAAACACTCATATGTGGCTGGTAGGAATGTGAAATGATGCAACCACTTTGGAGAACAGTTTGGCAGTTCCTCAAAAAATTAAACACAGAGTTACCATATGACTCAGCAATTCCATTCCTGGGCATATGCCCTAGAGAATGAAAACATGTCTACATAAAAACCCATACCCAGAGGTTCACAGCAGCATTGTTCACAATAGAAACAACACAAAATAGAAATATCACACATGTCCATCAGCTGATGAATGATAAACAAAAATGTGGTATATCCATATATTGGATTATTACTCAGCCATAAGAAGGATAGGTGAGTGGTTTCCTAGGGCTAGGGAGTTGGGCAATTAGGGGGTGATTGCTAATGAGTATGGGGGTTCTTTTGGAGGTAATGAAAATGTTCTAAAATTGATTGTGGTGATGGATGCGCAAATCTGAATATACTAAAAGCAGTTTTAAATGGCTGAATTTTATGATATGTGGATTATAACTCAATAAAGCTGCCAAAAAATAAAAAGCCTGTTTTGTGGGGGAGTAAAGTGAAGGAGACAGGGAGCTGATAATAGGCCAGCCCACGTGGGAGAGCTGCCTGAGGATAGCAGTGCTCCATGTGGCCTGCTTGCCTTTAAGCACTATCATAGGCAGCTGCTGCCTTTCTTTTAGGCCTTCGAGGACATCTACATTGAGCAGAGAAAGACCATCCGCACCATCCTGGAATATGCCGACAAAGTCTTCACCTATATTTTCATCCTGGAGATGTTGCTCAAGTGGACAGCCTATGGCTTCGTCAAGTTTTTCACCAACGCCTGGTGCTGGCTGGACTTCCTCATCGTGGCTGTAGGTGTCTTGCTTTCTGTTTCCCACCCCTTACAGCAGGAACACAGAAATAGGGATTTCTCTCCTTCTAATGGCAGTAGCTGCCTTGGGCCCAGGTTAGAGATGGAGATGGAGATGTACGTGTGGGTAAAGTTCCTTTCATAGCACTCAGATCTTCATTTTAGGAAGGGGAACTCTGAAGTCCCTGCATTTGCTCCAGGGGGACTAACCACCCAACTCTTTAGTCTGGTGGGTTTGGCTTAACTGAGATTCAGAGATTAGGAGTGAGAAGTGGGATCACTGATCTCAAAGGCCCTTGTTATTTGGCTGGGGACAGGAAAGTTCTTGCCCCAGGCCAGCAGGACATCCTCTTTCTGTGGCCAGGAGAAGGGATGGAAGAATGAGATGGGGGCTGCTGGCACAAAGGTGGTAGTGGGATTTCCCTGGTCTCTCCTGCTGACCATTCCCGTGAATGCTTCCACCCACTCAAGTCTTGATACCAGACTCATCCAAACAAGTCAGTTTATCAGGAGAGGGGCGTTCACACCGAAATAAAGTCCCCCCTTCTTCCCACATGTTGCCATTCTACAGTGATCATGAAACTTGAGAAATCCTTTTTTCCTCCAGGTTCCAAGACCATCTCCGAGGTTTGCTGGCCATGACCTCCTGTGTTTTTTTCAGGTTGGAAGCGGCATCCTCTCTAACTCTTCCTCACTCCACCAGCGCTTGTCCCTTGTTGGCTTTACTAAGGAGGATGACTGTTCTCTTATTCTGTATAATAACTAAAGCTTCTTTCTTTCAGCCAAATCAGCATTTAAAAAAAAAACGATGAATGGGGTTTGTAGGAGCAGGGCCTGTGGAAAATTTACTTCCTTCTGAGGGCTGTTAAGTGCCAAGAAAGTAGAGTGGTGGAGGCTAGGCTGGTCATGTAGAATGCAGGTTTCAATGGCTGCATGGTGAACTACCTGTAGAGTGCCTCTGGGATCCAGGATAGAGCAGCGTAGAAATCACTCTGATGGCAGGTGCCCAGCACTGAGCCAGTAATGATTTCTGCTCTATAAATGCATTTCCTTCCCAGTACTGTAGTTTGTAGTTTCCATGCTTAGTGATCACTTCCCAAAACTGTCACTCTGCCCCCAGTTGCATCCCCATTTCAAAAAGCCAGACTTTGGGAAATGCCTAAATGAGGTGAGGAGGCCAGCCCTGAGGGGACCAGTGTGAGACCCACCCAGCGAGAGATGTTAGCACTCCCTTCAGCAACTCTTGATAACATCCTGTGATGGAAGGACCTGTCCCTCCCACAGACAGAAAGCTGGAGCTCTAAGACTTAAAGACTGGGCTTGAGATAAGGCCTAGAGAGCCACAGTGAGAATAGGCCAGTTCTCTTTCTAGAGAAAGGGGAAGTGCCATGGAGTCTTCATTTCACAGTAGCTCCTCAGGACTGCCTAGCATCAGGTGAGACACCTGAATTCAAACTAGTACTCCCAGCTGCCTGGGGAGGCTGTGATTTGAAACAGAGCTTCCCCACCATGACCTACCCTCTCATTCTTCCTCTTCTCCCTAGGTTGAGCTACCCAGAATTTGAGGCTATCCATCAGGTACCCCACATGACCCTGCTAAACAAATAAGCTGCTAAAGCACTAACAGTCCCACACATTAGCATTTAATTATGTTTCGAGATGAGGTCTTACTCTGTAACCCAACCTCAAGTGCAGTGGTGCCGTCTCTGCTCACTGCAGCCTCTGCCTCCTGGGTTCACACGATCCTTGCACCTCACCCTCCCGATTAGCTGGGACTACAGGCAAACACCACCACACCTGGCTAATTTTTGTATCTTGGGTAGAGATGGAGTTTCATTGTGTTCCCCAGGCTGGTCTCGAATTCCTTGGCCTCCCAAACTATTGGGTTTACAGGCATGAGCCACTGTGCCCAGCCAGCATTTATTTTGCGAATACTTTTATGACTTTTTATACAACGTGAAAGGGGGTAAAAAGCTTAGGACAGGCATGCAGCCAACTGACACTAATTCATAAGCCCCTCTAGCTTTGTGGAGGTTGCTGGATCATTACATTACTGTGGTGCCTAGCTGGCTCCTGTGAAGACCTCTGTGCCAGTTATTGTAAACAACATAACCGAATGCCATTATCTGTGTAGAATTGCTCTAGAAGCAATATGGAGAAATTCAGGGATAAGACAAGCATGGTCCCAGCTTCTGGGGAGCTGACTCTAGCTTCCACAGCAACTGTGGCCTGATTCCAGGCTTGTGCTAGGTAGGGGTAGAGCCCCAGGCCATCACAGTGGCTCCACTGGCTGCCACTTTTGAGTTGTAGATGGACGATAAGTCTTGGATTGTCACCTGAACAGCTGGAACTGCTGGACTTTTTGGTGTCCATTTGAGAAAAGTATCTGGTTTCTTTGGCATTTTAGAATATCCAGCAGGTTAGGTCCTAGCTTAGTACCATCCACTGGTGACTTGATTTCTGAGTCTGCTATTCATCACATTCGTTTCCCTAATTGATTTTCATTCTTCCTTGTTGTCCCTAAAGCTGTCAGTACTTTTCATAGGCATGGGATTATCCAGATGACTTCCGAGGTTAATTCTTTTTGTTTATAAGCCATATGCGTTCCCAAACAAGAAAAACATTCTGTTTTCCCAGGTCCTTGGCTGCATTGGAGATCATGTCCTGTAAAAGAATTTTGTCATCTTTTCCCCAGGACATTTATCCCACCACGTGTAGAGATTAGCAATCCTGTCAGTTCCAGAGATGGGGGCTTGCAGAGACCACTTGCCTCATCCTGAATTCAGACTGCTGAAAACGTTCTCCATTTGAAAATATTCACATCAGTTTGGAAAAGTCACCTAATATCTTTCCTCCTTTTTTTCTAGCCTCCAACCACAGATGCCCTGAATTTTTTTATTTTAAGAATTTTTTTAGATAGGTCTCACCCTGCTGCCCAGGCTGGAGTGCAGTGACACAATCATGGCTCACTGTAGCCTCAAGCAGCCTTCCCACCTCCGCCTCCTGACTAGCTGGGACTACGGACATGTGCCATGGTGCCTGGCTTGATGCCCTGAATTTGATGTCTCCTCGATTCCTTTTTTTTTTTTTTTTTTTAGGTTTGATTCTTTCGTTAAAAAGTACTTTAATCAATGTTAGGATTATCTCCAGCAAGGGCTTAACAGAGACTTGGAGGATTATAAGAGAGCCCTCAACTGCTAAAGAATAACCCAGATAAGACTCTTATTGATCCTGTCCTGGGCCAGATTAGTCAGCTGAGTACCAGCTTATCTCTCAGCAACATTTAGAGCCAACCACTGAATTGGCCTTTAGACCTCCTCCTTCATTCTCCACACTGTGGACCTATTTGTTATCAGATAAGTCACCTACCCTGAAGGGCTGGGATCTGCTTACCTGTGGTACCTATAGCCACTCAAAACTTAGTTTCTTGCAATCTTTACCTGACAAAATTTCATAAGATGAAGCTGACCCAAGGGACGGTTGAGCTCACGTACTTGGTTGAGAAAGGATAGCTTCCCTTCAGATATACCTATTGAGGCATCATGAAGTATCTGGCAACTTTCAATTATTTTGGAGTTAAAAGTTGGCTGACACCTCCATATAAATTCTTACTGATAATGATGGATGGATGGAGAGAAAGGGATTGTTTGGTGCTACTGCGTTCTAGATAAGGCATTTGTGGCCCTTATTTTAGGCAGGCATTGAATTCTGGACCATCTGCCTTTCACAGAAAATCAGGGTAACTTAATAGGGCAACATTTACTTCCAGATTTGCTTTGGACACTGCCCAGGGCTTCAGAGAAAATACTTACACGGATGGATTATGAGCACATGCATAGATCAAGGTTCATACCCCTCTTTTTATTTTTTATTATTTTTTTTTGAAATGGAGTTTTGCTTGTATTGCCCAGGTTGAAGTGCAATGACACAATCTCTATGCACTGCAACCTCTGCCTCCCGGGTTCAAGCAATTCTTCTGTCTCAGCCTCCCAAGCAGCTGGGATTACAGGCATGTGCCAGCATGCCGAACTAATTTTCTTTTTGTATTTTTAGTGGAGACATGGTTTCACAATGTTGTCCAGGCTAGTCTTGAACTTCTGACCTCAGATGATCCACCTGCCTCGGCCACAACATCCAGCTGTACCCATTTTTAAATCAAAACCTTTAAACCAGCTCATTCTGACCCTTGGTAGGTCATTGACCTTCCACTTCTTCCCCCTGCCAGTCATGCTGCTTAATTATAAATATCTTCATTTTTTTTAAAAGTGTGTGTGTGTGCAATTCACAGACGCAGGATCAAAGAATTAAAGCCATAGGATACAGATAAAAAGCAGCAAATGAAACTAAGTTATAGATTGTTTCTTTTTATCCTCTCTAAAAATTTTTTTTTTTTTAAATACCAATTTAAGTAAGCTAAGCTGATCTGCAACCACCACTTCCCAGTAGGAAGAATTTAAGAGCCACTGATGGAAATATCTTAACCTATCCTAGAATTTGTGTTGTAAGAAACCCAGAACCCAGCCAGGCATGTGGCTCAAGCCTGTAATCCCAGCAGTTTGGGAAGCCAAGATGGGTAGATCACCTGAGGTCAGGAGTTTGAGACCAGCCTGGCCAACACGGTGAAACTTTGTCTCTACTGAAAATACAAAATTAGCTAGGCATGCTGGCACATGCCTTGTAATCCCAGCTTCTCACCCAGGAGTCTAAGGCAGGGAGAATTGCTTGAACCCTGGAGGCGGAGGTTGCAGTGAGCCAAGATTGCGCCATTGCACTCCAGCCTGGGCGACAAAGTGAGACTTTGTCTCAAAAAAAAAAAAAAAAAAAAAATAAACTAAAAAAAAAAAAAAAAAAAAAAAAAAAAAAGAAACCCAGAACCCAAACATTCTGGAGTTTGACTAACTAACAGTATTTTTAGATCTGCTCTCCTCTGAAGAGCTCTGTAACTCTCAGCTCAGGCCCAGGCAGGCATAAATAGTTAGCATGGTGTTGAGGAAGCGTTGTGGTAACTGCTCTGAGAGCTCTGGTAGAACAAGGTAAGTTTGCTTCTGGAAGAACAGGAAAGTGCTGGACCATGTGTCTAGGCCTGGAGGTCTGCAGGCTTTTTCTCCCTGGTACAGCAACATACTCAACTCTGGATTGTCCAGACACTGATAGTCCTGTTGGAATGTTGTGTAACCTGCCCACTGGGGACGTGACCTGTCTGTAGAAGAAAAAGCACTGGCTTGAGAGTCAGGCAGTGAAGGTTATTAATCCTGGCTCTAGGACTGCCAATGTGACCCTGGGCAAAACTTGTGTACAGGTCTCAATTTCCTCATCTATCAAATAAAATTAATTTTTTCCCAAGAATTCTTCTAGCTGTTATTCTAGTGATGATAGTTATAAAAGATTGACATGGAAATGACAGACCTGAGGCTAATTCATTTTGGACTGTTCTGGAAGGAAAGAATGAGAATTATAAGGAAAAGTATGGATTCAGTTGTCCAGACTCACCCAAGTTCCTGTGGCCATGGAGGGGTACTGGTTATAGTTAAAAGTCAGAAGGATTATTATAGTTAAAAGTGAGAGATAGAAGGATGTAGTTAAAAGATAGATAGAACTTACTTAAGTGAGTTCTCATGGAGCCACAATTCTTCTTGGGAGCTGCAAAGTCAGCCATGGTACTTACTGAATGTTTTCATTGTTGTTGATGTCATGACGCATCAAATTCTCAAACAAATGGTTTTTTGTCAACCAGGAGTAAGAGAGTTTGTCCCTGTTGGAAAGCCAATGGTGAATGAGCTGAGGAGGGGGCAGCTTGTGTGGAGTATGTGTATTTATCTGTATTCTTTTCCATAGGTACCATTAAATTTGTCTGGCTTAATTTAATGGGGACTTCTGGGACCTGCAGAGACTGTAAAGGGCGAGGGTAAGGCTCTTGTCATCTGTTCAGGCTCCTCTCCTTCCAGTGGAACTTCCTCACTCTCTCCCTCTCCCGTCAGCCTCTCCCCTTTTCCAACTTGTGTGTATGTTCTACTGCCTTCTCGATTTTCTCTTCCCTCTGTGTTTTTTCTTCTGCCTCTCAACCACCTTTCCTTCCAGGTCGTTTGAGTCAAGTTGAAGTAGGCAGCTGGTGTTACCCACTTCCTCTACCTGGGGGGCCCAAACTGTGTCTTCAGTGCTAGGGGCTTTATTCTAACACTCTGGAACCTCTGTTTTCTTTTCTTTTTTTTTTCTTTTTCTTTTCTTTTTGTTACCTTTTTTGTTTTTGTTTTTCTCTTCTGTTTCTGTGTAGGTCTCTTTAGTCAGCCTTATAGCTAATGCCCTGGGCTACTCGGAACTAGGTGCCATAAAGTCCCTTAGGACCCTAAGAGCTTTGAGACCCTTAAGAGCCTTATCACGATTTGAAGGGATGAGGGTAAGATACTAAGAGCAGCTGATCCTTCTGCATGCCAGTGGAAACTGTTTAAGCATGCTAGAACTGATCACATGGTGGAAAGATCATTCAAACACGAATTCTGTGATGCAGCTGCTGATTTGATCCTCCACTCTCTCCCCCGCACCTGCCCCATGCAAAGGGGAATTGCGTTAAGCTGCCTCATCACATTAATATTGGCCCCACCCCCAACAACATGCCATCGCAGAACATGTTAACATTGGCTATTCTCATTTGGCCTGGCTTACCTGTAGCACTCGGGGCGGCTTTCTGGGCTGTTGATTTAATAGGGAGAATCACCAGGTGCAAAGAAGGGGAATTGTAACCCACAGACCCACTGAAAAGCACAGGCTTCAGGCAGGGAGAGTGCTGTGTAGGGGCATCAGCCAGGTGGGGACTGTGCCCTTGGGGTCACTGAGAAAGCAGCTGAGAATGGGCTTGAAGACATGGTGGCAGGCCTGGGATTGGGGATGGAGCAGAATTTGGCATGGCCCTGGGAGAAGAAATGCTTTTCTTTCTATTCGGATTCCTCTTATTGCACCTTGTTGTTCTCAGCCCAGTCCCATAAGGACTGGCAGCCTCTGTCTGATAGCAAAGCTTTTTTCCTCACCCCCAACCCCTCTGCCCATGCTGTATGGTCCCCTAACACTGTCAAAATGACAACCAGGTATGATGCTAGATAACTGAATATCAGCTAGTTCTGAAATTTCTTAATACCTCCTATTCCTGCTTTGGTGATACTCCACCCAAAACAGTACAAGGTGTTGTCACCCTGCCAACTTAGAAACAAGGTGCCCTCTTGGTGCCATTTTCTTGTCTCTTTTGGTTTAAATAATTGTGCATGTGTGTGCATGCATACGCACGCGCACACACACACAGACATACCCACACTAAAAAGTCAATTTCTTAAAATCAAAGGGGCAACTGGCTTTGGTGGTAATAGTTGTCCTGTGGTGATCAGAGAGAGGTCTGTTATACTTAACGAGACCAAGAAAACTCGCGTCAATTCAGATGTTGAATACATGCAGGAGAGCAAACCAGAGGATATATTTTTAAATGTGCAAACATCAGAATGTAGGAATAAAAATTAAACTGTTACAATAGTCTACATGAAGCAAGACTGATTGGAAAAACTAGATACCAGGACAGTGCTGCTTCATTCATTCCTCATCTGTGATCCCTGGCTGTTATTCCATGAAGCCACCCACAGTTGTATAAGAAGATGAAAACTTCACTGGGACTTGGGAATTTTATTATGTTAATTTATCCCGAAAAATGCTTTTTGCAACAAATTCATGTTTCTTCTGTAGCACAGTCACAGTTTGGTTTACTAAATGTAAGCTTTCTGCAACCCTTCTGAAACCATCTGCAGGAAGGGCAGTTCCACAGTAGTGTAAATTTATTTTAATTTTTTTTAACTTGGGATTTTAAGTCTTGTCCCACAGATAAGAGAGGTTTTAGAATGTGTGCAATAAGGTCATTGCTATGCTCAGGCTAAATTTAGGAAGAGAGTTTATTACACAAGATTCAGTGGTTTAGACAGCCACGGTGTGGTTGAAAATGTGGTTAAAATGCTCTTCTCTGCTCCCTCTACCTTTGCACGTTTTCCAGAGGGAGCTAGTTAAATGTTTTAATAAGTCATACTAGTTTTGTTATAAAGTTGATGATCCACTTTGGTGACTGCAAAACTGAGGACAAGATGCAACCAAAAGAAGTCCACTGAAGACAGTACTTGCAGCATTGTACCTGAGCTCCTCCGAGTCCCCTTGAGATGATCCCTGATCTCCCAAAAGGAGATTGGTGATACCTGAAGAAACCCTCCCCACCCCCAACCCTTCGCAAAAGAAATGCTCATCTGACCCATCTGATGCTTGTTACTAACTCTTTCCATCTAGATGCTCGTTACTGTCCGTCCTGTCCCAGGCAGACAGAAGTAGTCCTCATGGCCGCTGATGCCAGTTTGCTCATGAGGCCGTTACTTGAATAACCTGGATGCGGGAGCCATTTTGGTAGCTCCATCTCCTCCCTTTAGTTGGCCCTTCTTTCTCTACCTTTCCTGGACCCTCAGTTTCCAGTTCCCCAAAATCTTGTGCTTGTCAACTTGAAAGTACTTTAGGAGCCTGGAGGTCCCGAATGCATAATCAGAACAGTAGATAATTTTATTTGAAAAGCATTACGATGTTTTAAGTGAAAAGCATCAAGGTTTTTTTTAGTAAGATAATATGGGCAAGAACAAGTTTGAACCCAAAGCTGGAATTTAAAACAATTAATGTGCAGTGAGGGAAGCTTTGGAATAAGAGTGTGCCATCTCATTTGGTTGACTCCAGACAACTAACAAACAGTATTGACCATGGCTGATTGGGCAGGTGAAAAGGGATCAGGAATCCATTCCTGCCCTGTGGGCTTCCCAGCCCTTCTGTGGAAGAGAAACTGAAAAAGATTGGATCTGGCGAAGCTTATAGTAAGTCCCCCAGTAAGAAACAAAATTAGATACACATGTTTTATTTAAATGTCATTTTTCTATGGGGCATTTTTTTTAATTCTTTGGTTTTGGTTCTTCTATATGCCAACACTTTAGAGATTACCTTTAGAATATTTTAAATGAGAAACCTTTATAAACTGAACACCATCCATGCAGATGGGCTCAACTGTCACTGTGCTGCTCATATTATAGACTCAGAGCTTCATTGAGAGGGAAAATATGACCCAAGCCTGTCCTGGAACACTGATTTCAGTCTCCTCTCCTTCCTCAAACCAAAGACCAGGAAAACTGAAGTACTCATGCTATAGGCAAAGGAATACTTAATGTAGTTCTTTGCTTTTCTCTCCTCCATAGTAATCTTCATTTAAAGATTTTGCTGTGCTATTGAATTTTTGAGGGTATATAATATTAGTGCCATGAAACATGCATGCATTTTTGTTGATTGTCAGTACATAGTTGTCCATTAAAGCCATGTTCCCTCTGCCAGATATTAAAAGCTAGCTGACAGATTTTATAGTATTTAATAACCAACAGTAATGTCCAAGACATGATAGAGAGGACAAAAATATTGTAAGAATTCATGTCCATTGGAATTTTCTCATCAATTAAGTGGGATTTGTATCAGTTGCTAAGTATAAACTTCCACTGAAAAAATTAACTTTTTATAGATTACTAAAATCTAGCTTTGAGTGATATTTCTATGTCTAGTTCTTAACAATAATAGATTTTGTGATAATTAAAGGCAATGTAGAATAACTCGTGTAGAGAAGAGAAGATCAAATTCATTAAGTGACTACCAATGGAAATTTGAATTATCATTTATGATATATCTTTAGTATGAGAGTTCAAAATAAGAAATATGATCTCTTCCCAGTGGTTGCTGAGAATAACAGCACAATGATCATTTTACATATGGAGCACAGTTAAATAGTTTCTACTTAACATGTTGCAGCTTATCAGCTAATGTTCACAGCAAGAAAGAATTATTAGTAAATTTAATCAACTCTGGGCTGGGCACAGTGGCTAACGCCTGTAATCCCAAAATTTTTGGAGGCTGAAGTGGGCAGATTACTTTGAGGTCAGGAGTCCAAGAGCAGCCTGGCCAACATGGCAGAACTCCGCCTCTACTAAAAATTCAAAAATTAGCTGGATGCAGTAGCACCCACCTGTAGTTCCATTTACTGGGGAGGCTGAGGCAGGAGAATCTCTTGAACCCAGGAGGTGGAGGTTGCAGTGAGCCAAGATCACACCACTGCACTCCAGCCTGGGCAACAGAGTGAGAACCTGTCTCAAAAAAAAGTAAATAAATAAAAATTTTAAAGTAAATTTAATCAACTCTGCTTCCTGTTTTATTCATAAAACTAAGGTAAAAAGTTTTTCTGTGGTATGATTACAGTACACTTACATCTTATAAAACTTTGGATTTTATAGGATTTTACATCGTATCAGAGAATAAGGCTCAGTGAATATTTGTGTATATTGATTCATTTGATCAGATGAATAAATACATAAAATTTTGTATATATTTTATGAGAATAAAAGTTCAAAGAGATGACTAGTTAATTTTTCTTCCCTGTGGTAAACATTAACTCATATTTAACTGTAACACATAGTATGTAGGATGGATTAGACTGGGTTTGAGTAGAAGCTTAAGATCATTCTCTGCATAGTCAGAAGAGTTCCAGAGGAAGTAGGTTCTGAACTGAGATTAAAAAGCAACATGGCTAGGTTTCAAGTCTTTGGGGCCTACTTCCTGTGCCACATTTGTAATGGTCTAACAGAAGGTCATGATCTCACACCTAAGTTCTGCTGTGAAATGCTGTCACATAGACTTGAGCTTTTGAATCTTTACATACTCTACTCCCTTATTGTTTGAGAAATTATTTTTCCATTTGTGGATCATCCTCCTTTTGCCTGTTCTTTTGCACATTTCATTGCTTTTTGGTGCTCCCACCAAAGGGTGAGCAACTGTAGAATGAGGAGGTAAATTCAAATCTGAGTAAATGACAAATTTGGTAATTTAAATACATATGAATATCATTCTCCAAAATAACGTTGAAGATTTTCCAGATTTCAGATATCCTGGCTTTCCTTGCTCAAAGTAATAAACAATTAACAAATTAATAAACATTTTATACTAATGACAGAGCTGTCAGATCTAGAAGAGATTTCTTGGTCTAAGAATTAAGAAATAACTGCCTCTCAGTCTAAAGGCCTTCATATGTGAATTGGAGAAACACAAAATGAATATTTTAATCTAAAAGGAAGAGTGACTCCTTAGCAGAAGAATATCATTGCATTTTTTACACCAGATAGAGCAGGTAGCTCTAATCAGCCACATGTCCTATTGAGTGACAATGCAGTCTAAGGCAAAACCAGAAGATAAGGAAAACCTAAACCCTAAACTAAACTGTATGCTACTATGACTTATACTGTAAAGCAAAATAAAAGTTTAAAACAACCCAGAAACTTTGATCCCTCAGGGGTTTTTTTCCTTTGCTTTTTTTTTATTCCTGAGCTTACTCTAGTTAGTGACTTTTAATAATATGCCAATTTTTAAGTTTCAAGAGCAGTGATGATCTAACCCAAAACTCTCTTAAAAAACTTTTAAGTCATCCCTATTTCTAATACGTTGTGATGATTAGAGTCAAGCCCTGGAATGAGCAGAGAGACAACAGCATTAGCCAAGCAGGGAGCGACTCTGATTTAAAAGCCTACAAAATCAGAATAAAAACGCTGAAGAAGAATAATGAACCTTGAGTGAAAAGCACATCTGTTCATATTTTATTTTATACTGTTTGGTAGAGGGAATATAGCTTTTTTTTCTTGAGCCTGCAAAATATGCATGCTCAGCTATTGCCTGAAATAAGATAACTGGCCTTGCGTAGTCATAAAAGAGACGTTATGTACTGTTAACTGGTTCTCTATTAACCACAACGGGTAGTTCTGTGTGATTGTGAACAATCATACCGTGTTTTGCAGAGGGGGAATGTCTGTTGAAAGGCAACTAGCAAACTGAAAGTTACTCATATTTCCCCATTGGGCATATTTTATGAATTGAGGAGAAGGGAGAGTGGACTAAGAAATAATTTTTCAGCCCCAGGCTGATGCATAGGAAAGAAGACCTAGGTCATCTTGGCTGGGGAATTTGTGTTAGCCAAAATAAAGATGAAACTTTTTAAAATTCCTTCAATATAGTCCTAGACTTAGAAATTTTTGGTCGTACTTGTCAGTCTGTCCAGTTACTCTAATTCCAAAGGGAATGTAATGTTTCCATACAGAACAAGCCACACAATGTCATTCCCCTCCTGGAAATCAAAAAATGTGCTTGCTTCCATTTCCACCCAACACTCAGCAACCTCCCCTTCCAATGCAGGTGGTGGTGAATGCCTTGGTGGGCGCCATCCCCTCCATCATGAATGTGCTGCTGGTGTGTCTCATCTTCTGGCTGATTTTCAGCATCATGGGAGTTAACCTGTTTGCGGGAAAGTACCACTACTGCTTTAATGAGACTTCTGAAATCCGATTTGAAATTGAAGATGTCAACAATAAAACTGAATGTGAAAAGCTCATGGAGGGGAACAATACAGAGATCAGATGGAAGAACGTGAAGATCAATTTTGACAATGTTGGGGCAGGATACCTGGCCCTTCTTCAAGTGGTAAGTAATGTTTTGTTTTGTTTTGTTTTTTTCAGTTCTGTGAAATTCAGGCAGCTAGCACAAATCCCATTAGGCGTCTTCTCAGCCCTGCTTCTAGAATCAGGATTATTCTCAGTCAGTCCAAGAGAACAGTGTTGTTCCCCAAACCAGTTTCAGAGAGACACCTTTCCTGAGTATTCTCTGACTTCTACCAGATCTCATGCAAAGGAAATCTCTCATTGTGCTCAGGAGCAGAGAGCTGTGCCCAGCAACAAATAAAGATTCCTGCAGTGTAATAAAGTGGCAGAGAAATCACTTTCCCTTCCCGGGTCAGAGAGTGCAGTTAAAGAGAAGGGCAAAAAAAATCTAGAAGATAAGCCCATAGAGAAAAAAGTATGGCAATTGTGATGGAGCAAAATAATCGTACATACTCACTACATTCAAGTTAATTTAGGGAAAAACCATGGCAGTGCCTTGGTGCCACGCTCACGTTAGCTTCACCCCAGAGAAAGATATCAGATTACTGTATTACAGAAAGGAAGGATTTAACTACCTAGATAATTATCTTTTGCCTAATTTTATTTCTTCCTGCTTAGTTTTCACTTCCTCTCTCACCAATGTTTTGGAATGTGTGACAAGACAATATAATGCAGAGAAAGTTCATAGGCTTTGAAATCAGACTGATATAGATTTGAACCACACTCTGATATTTACTGAATACGTAACTTTGAACAAATTATTCAGCCTCTCTCTCTGTTTCTTCATCTGTTAAATATAGAAAATGATACCTTGCATTGGTTAAGAGAATTTGTGATTTTTTAAAATTTCTTAGCACAATGCCCAGCACATAACCATGCTAAATAATGGAAATTGCTATTAAATATTTTTGTTACTATATTGCCATGCCTATATCATACAGTTCTTGGGAGACTAACTGCAATAACACAGATAAAGCTCTTAACCTAACCTTACATATAGTAGACACTCACTGTCAACTCATAGTAGAAGGCAAAGTTCATGGAATGAACTAGTTTTTCCTACCCCAAAGCTTTTTTGCTGTTCTATCCCAGTTCAAGAAATTGGACGCACGAATTCAATCTGAATTGGAGCCGCTCCAGAAAACCAGTGCATATTAACAAGCCAGTCAAATATGGTAGTCACAGAGTCCCTGCCATATGCAAGATGCTGTGCTTGACAGTACAGTACTAGGGCCATCAGATGAATAAAGACCTTCCTATGCCCTGAAAAAACTTAGAATCTGGTTGAGTAAGTAAAACATGGAGAATGGTACATTGATAATCCATATTTGTTTCCAAAATCAGGCTAGATATAGTAGACTGAAGGAGTAGAGTTGGGAAGGGACTGTCAAAGATAAAGCTGGTATTGCCACTACATAGGCTACACATGTGTATATTAGTAAAGGGTAAGTCTGATCTTTTTTTTTTTTTTTAATGCAACTATGGGTTTTTCAGACCCCTATCGCTTAACACCTTTTACAGAACTGATTCCTCAGTGGAATGGAGTGCTAAGTTCTCAGCATTTTCAGGAGATTCCTGTCATTTGCTCATAAAAGTTTTTCCTAACTTTAGGCAGGCTTCTCAGGCCCATGTTTTTAAGTCCTTTTGTAAAGTCTTAATCCAGTTACCATTTTCAACATGTTTATTTGCCATACTTTGTTGTTATTTTCAGGGACAAAGCCTCCTTGGGACCTATAGTAACAGAAAATTCTGAGTCCAAGGGAGGCTGCACCCAAACCCCCATTCTGTGTTCTCACTGAACCTAAGCCTGGCCTTTGAGACCCCTGCCTAGACTCCCATCCACTCCCTTAATAGGCACAGTCTAATGACTGCCTCTGTTTGCCAGGCAACCTTCAAAGGCTGGATGGACATCATGTATGCAGCTGTAGATTCCCGGAAGGTAAGGATGTACATGGCGAAAATACAGCCTTCTCAGATGGTTGGAAAACAAGTAGGTTGTTAGATCCCACCAAGAAAGAGGAAGGAACGGAGGATGGAGGAGTTGTCATTTCTCTTTGGAACATTTGTTGCTTGTTTTATTGATTATAGATCATTTTCCTCGACTCAGTATGTCATCACTGTCTTACATTGGCCCCCAGTGATTAGAGTGTTGATTTTTACATGGCCCCAGGGAAGCTGTCTATGCTTCAGTCCTGCTTCATAGCAAAAGTATGGCTCCTAGCAGACAGCCCACCCTCCCTGTGGCCTCATGATTTGCATGTTGTCCACATGAGTCAGAGGAGGGCTAGCGCCCTCTCAAGGCAGGACATGCCAGCGTAGAGAAGGAGGCAGGTAGAAAGAATCTAGGGCTCTCCCACCCCAGCATGTTCAGCAGCTCAAATGGTCAGTTATGGCTGATGGCCTTGGCATATCAAACTCCAAACTAGGAGCTGATTCTCTTCCTTTTATCCTGTCCTTTGACAGCCTGATGAGCAGCCTAAGTATGAGGACAATATCTACATGTACATCTACTTTGTCATCTTCATCATCTTCGGCTCCTTCTTCACCCTGAACCTGTTCATTGGTGTCATCATTGATAACTTCAATCAACAAAAGAAAAAGATAGGTCTCCTCCCCTCATTGCCAGTGGCTGGAAGTCAGCCCAGATAAGGGGCACCTTTGTCCCTTTTCTCTAGAAAGAAAATGTCCCTCTTTCTTTCTCTAAAATTCATATTGTCAGCTCACTGTGACCCTGACCACCACGTACATTAGCCCCAGCCTACTCTCTGTTTTGGGGGCTGGATTTTGCAGCACATAGTTTACCACACTTAACGAGCAGTCCTTTATTCTTGAGGCCTATTACTGCTCTTGGTCTCCCACCAGAAGCAGGTAGGTCAGAGAGTACAGTCTAGCAACAGAAATGAAAAGGAAAGAAGCAGTTGAATAACTATTACAAGAAGTAAAAACTCTCTAGATTTGTGGTTATCTGTGTCAGTCCCTGAGCACTGGCAAATTGGGATTTGAGAGACCGTCCTTGGAAAATTCACTTCCTTACTTGTTCTAGATGGTTAACAAGTTTTAAAAAGCCAATTGGAAAAATTGCTCTTGTTACTCATTTTGTAAGTCAAGTCTATCCCAGCATACTCCAGGAAACCCTCCAAATTGCTTTCTTGCACCAGAATTTCTAAATTTTGAGTATCATCTAAAATAAATTGGCTATTAGCTAGGACATGAAGATCTTTTTTTTCTAGAATGTATCAGGAAAGCAGGCCCTCAAAAAAATGAGACTGTGAAATATGACTGCCTTCAAAGTCATTCCTCTCAAGTTTACCCTTTCATGAGGGTCTATAATTGGATAGTCCATTTCCTTTCTACCTCGGGACTGGCAGATCTTAGAAATTCTGAGCTAAAAACAAAGGCAGGGGTCTCTTTAGAGCTGAATGATTATCGCAGGTCTACCCCATCTTGGGACAGCTACTAGCTACGCTGTTTTTTGCAAAGGAAAGCATAGGTCTCCCCTCAGTTCTCAAAATTGAATCTTAGGTCCAAACCCATAGCATGTTGAGAGCCAGTTGTAATTGTCTGTTTTCTTCTTCCCTCCTTTACTTTGGAGGTCAGGACATCTTCATGACTGAAGAACAGAAGAAGTACTACAATGCCATGAAAAAGCTGGGCTCAAAGAAGCCACAGAAACCTATTCCCCGCCCCTTGGTAAGTGCATTGTGTGGGCTGAGGGCTTAGTGAGAACTCATATTAAAA